ATTCAAGGTGATTCTATCTTATAAAGCCTAAGCTGACCGAGTAATTAAGCCCAAGGAGTATTTCCATACTTAATGACCTAAGCCCATTTGAGTTGGGATCCATTGGCCCAAAACTCGTTAAATGGTCACTTAGAAAGCCCGTTAAAGTAGAAAAAAATCACCAAGAAAGAAAGAGTTAAAAAAATAAAAAATAAAAAATAAATAACTAATAAATGTTTTATAGTTGTATATATGGTCTTGGAAAATATTTTAAATCAAGCAACTTGAAAATTATTTAAAACAAAGAGTTAGCATGTTCTTTTCAAAACTTTTAAATTAAATTTCTAAGTTTGGCTTGGTTTTGTATTGCTACAATGAGAAGATTTTCTTAAAAATATACCTTAGAGTTATATATAAAAATGTTTTCTTGAGTGATAACTGGCTCCAATTAGATTATCTAAAAGTTATCAAGTGAATTTAGTTATTTACTAACTTCTTTAATTTGGCAAGTTGACCGAATTTTGTGGGTATATTCACTGCAAACCCTCACGAGACTACAACTCGTCCACTAGGGTAACCTAGGGGTTTAAAGGCTTGTTGTATGCGCTAAATACAACCGCGATTCCTGCGAAAGTGAGTTAGGATTTTCTTTTTATTTTCTTTGCTAGAGGACTAGCAAAAGTTTAGGTGTGGGGGTATTTGATAATCACATTTTATTATAATTTTATACCCTCATTATCTATTTTATATGAATAAGTTCTCCTTGGTGAGGCAATCGGGAAGAGCCTTGATTCTCCTTGGTGAGGATTGATAATCACATTTTATTGTAATTTTATACCCTCATTATCTATTTTATATGAATAAATATACCACTAATAATTATTTTTATCTTTTAATTGCAGGTTAATGAAGAATAAATCTCAAACTCTCATCTCTCAACAAAAACCCATTGATTAAATGAAGAAATGAAGCAAAGAAGCACATTGGAAAATCAATTTCCAAATTATCCAAAAGCCCAGAATCAAGTCGAGTAGCCTGTAGAAGCCGGAGAAAATCAAAAATCCAATATGAAAAGAAATCATATTCAAAATGGTTGGCCACAAAGAAACGACGATATCTCCCAATCCGGAAGACGGAATTTAACATATAATATATGAAAATCGCCTATCTCGACGAGACGAAGCCAACCGTGAAGTCAGCATCGATACCTGCATCGATGCCTGCATCGATACCAGATTACTGTAGCGCGCGTCAATGGCTGATTTTGGTTGTTTTTGGATAAGATTTCAATCCAATGGCTCTCATTCACTGATGTTTACTATAAATAGGGGTAGAGAGTGAGGGGTTAGAGGTGTGAAAATTTTTGTAACTCCTTTTGGAGAGGAGGGCTACTCTTAATTGAGAAGGCCTTCCAAAATTGTAACTTTTGTTGCAATTAATAATAATAATTTTTTTTCACCACTTTAAATTTTTCTCTTCTTCTCTTTGTTGGATGATGAAGATGAAGATGAAGATGGAGAATTATTTGAAGGTTTGCATTTCTTTCTTTTTCTCTTTTATTGCTTATTAGTTTAGATTTATTTCTATGCTTGTAGTTAGATTTTATTTTCTTGTTAAATAGCCAAGAGGCTAGAACCCTCTTGCCTTAGATTTATTTCATGCTTATAAAGTAGATTTATTTTCTTGCATTTAATTCTTGCAATTTTATTTTATAGTTTAGATTTTGCAATTTATTTTGTGGTTAGATTTTAATTTCTTATACTATTCACCTTGAGGCTAAAACCCTCTTGGGTTTAGTTTTTCTTTTTATTTATTTTTATTTTGTTTGATTCGCCTTTAGGCTAGAACCCTCTAGGGAATCACCATTTTCTAAGAAGTGGGTTCAATTGTAGATTACCAATATCTATAATTGAATCCACCATCTTTAATTTCTTGCATTTTCTTTTATTCTAGAATTTTGTTCTTCATTCTTGAATTTTCATTTGTTTCTTGATTTTATTCAATTTTTTCCTTCTCACCTTATTGATCACACTCCTTCTTTGTCACATCCACTCTCACTTAAATTTTGCGCTGTTTCACACACTATCACTTTCACTCTCTCAATCTCTCCACAATCACATTCACTCATCACTCCTATTTGTCACACACACGAAATAAAAATCAATTTTATATTTTCTCCTACAAAACACCTTCCTCGTGGGATCGATATCTTAAATACTATAACTTGACACGGTTGTGCACTTGCAACCTTTTTGGTACATGTTTATGCCGCATCAAAATTTCCTTAATTTTTTTTCACAAAAATCAAAAAATACAAAAATTAATGCAAAATCTAAACTAAAACGAGCTATTATGATGAAATAGTGAGAATATGCACAAAAAAAGGAGAAAACCCAAAAAAGTTTAAAGATTTTACAAAAAATTAGTTCAAGTCCTAAATTTGAGATCCGACAAACTCCGACGAACTTCGGCCCTATGGAGGTCAGTGATGGTCGAGAAATGAGATTGAAGAAGGTCGGAATATAGGGGGGCTGAAGATGGCGGCGGGTCTAACCCTAGTTGGGGTTGTAGGAGGGGTGGGAGAGAGGGAGTCGAGACCGAATGGGAATCCCGTGAGAGAGAGAGAGGGGGAGGGAGTCGAGACCAAATGGCAATCCCATGAGAGAGGGAGAGAGAGGGAGGGAGTCGAGACCAAATGGAAATCCCGTGAGAGAGAGAGAGAGAGAGAGAGAGAGAGAGAGAGAGAGAGAGAGAGAGAGAGAGAGAGAGAGAGAAGAGAGAGAGAGAGAGAGAGAGAGAGAGAGAGAGAGAGAGAGAGAGAATATGTTGTGTTAGTAAGGTGGGGTTGTCAAACTTCAACCAATTTTTGAATCCCGAGAAGTTGCAGGGCCAACCCGACAGAAACTTCAAACTTTTTGTCTAAGGGACACTACAACTTCACAGGATTATCAATCCCGTGAAGAACTTTTTGATTAGTCAAGAGATTAACTTTGTGTTAAACTTAACGGGATTCATGATTTAGCTTAAAGTTCGGTTGAACGGGTTTAAATTGGGTCGAAAATACTAATCGAATTTTAAACGGGTCAAATTTTCTAATTAAAGTTAAAAAGTGTTAGTTTTAAAAATTTATCGGCGTAAAAACCATAAGGCCCCGTTTGGCAAATGGTTAAGGAAGAGGGGTTAAAAAGAAGGATTAATGCACTTAGCTTATTCGATAATCTGAATGACTAAATTATTAACCCGTTAAATAAGTTTTATTTTAGTCATTGTGATCAGTTTGAATGACTAAATTATTAACCCGTTAAATAAGTTTTATTTTAGTCATTGTGATCAGTTTTAGTGTTTGAGAATAACAATGATTTTGACTATTGTGATCAGTTTTAGTGTTTGAGAATAACAATGATTTTGACTATTTTCTTTATAATTAGAAGGGTTAACTGGTAATCATTCTAAATACTCCAGTAAACCCCTCATTTTGAGAGGTTAACTCATTTTAGTCCCTCTAGAGTGGTTAGTTTAACCCTTCTATATTTTTTATGTTTGACAAATTATGGTGGGTTAACTCACTTTAACCATTTTATAGATTTTTTGTGTTTGACGAGTTAAGAAGGGGTTAAGTCTCCTTAACTAGGGGTGTCAAATGAGTCTGCAGACCGTCGAGCCGCCTCGTCGGCGCCTGGCACGAGCCCGGCCGCCCGCCCAGGAAAATTGGCCGGGCCAGATGGTAGGGCTGCGTCGCGCGGAATTATATATATATATAATATAATATATATATATATATATATATATATATATATTATATAATATATATATATATATATATATATATATATATATATATATATATATATATTTAATATATATATATATCATATATATATATATATATATATATATATATATATATATATATAATGTAGTTATAAGTATACTTATATGTGTATATTATAGAATTACAGTTATATAAGTATATATAAGTGCATAAGTATAATTATAAGTATATACTGTATATTGCATCTAGTATATATAAAAGTATATCATATAAGTAAATTGTATAACTACTTAAACAAACATAAAGTAATGTAACTCATTTGGGATGTATTCATCGAGATGTATTCATGTATTGTGATGTGACGAATTTTTTTTATCATTTTAATTTCTATATATAATTTTTTGTGTTTGTAAATTATATAATTACAAGTGATTAATAATATAATTGTTTTTATTAAAATTTTGTTTATTTTTTTGCTTTGTATTCTTAAAATAAAAAAGTTAAGAAAAAATTAAAAACAATTAAGGAAATTTATCCAGTCTGGACCCGGTCTAGGCTCCGTTTTTGTCCAGTCTGGACCCGGTTTTGCCCGGGTCAGATCAGACCATTTAGACATGTCTATTCTTAACCCCTCATTTGACCCTTTTGCCGAAGATACCTAGGCCTGTTTGGATTTGTAGGGGGTGAAGGGAAGTTAAGAGAAACTGAGAGAAGGGAAGGGAGTTCCCTTCCCCTTGGTTACACCCCAATTTGGGGGTAACAAATTTTATAGTATTAGGGGGTGAACCAAGGGGAACTAGGGTGAATTAACTTCACCTCCTAAGTGTTCACAAACAAGATGAATGGAGGTGAATGGTTCCCCTAACTTCCCTTCAACCTCATTCCCCTCAATCCAAACAAACCCTAAGAGCTTGTTTGGATTGAGGGGAATGAGGGTGAAGGGAAGTTAGGGGAACCATTCACCTCCATTCATCTTGTTTGGGAACACTTAGGAGGTGAAGTTAATTCACCCTAGTTCCCCTTGGTTCACCCCCTAATAGTATAAAAATTGTTACCCCTAAATTGGGGTGTAACCAAGGGGAAGGGAATTCCCTTCCCTTCCCTTCCCTCAGTTTTCCTTAACTTCCCTTCACCCCTACAAATCCAAACAGGCCCTAAGGTAATTAAGTACTAATTAGCCAAAGATGGGTGTTGCGTAGCCAGATGATGCTGACTCATTTCCACGCGTCCTCACATCCCTCATCCCTTGAAAATTTCCTTTTTTAAAAAATGGCCTCACCTCCTTGCTTCAGCTGCAACAGCACCAGCACAACGTTTCTCCGTTCAATTTCCATAAATAGCAGCACGATCTGGAGGAGGAGGAGGAGGAGAAACGAGAAGCTCGCTCTCCCCTTCTCTTCTTTCCTTCACCCAAACCCTCAAATTCTTCACCTGCTCCCGTCGAAAATCCGCGAAAACCCCAGGCGCTTCTCTTGTCTTTCTAAAGAGAAGGAGAACGATGCTCTTCGGCGAGAAGAAGAGAAAGCAATGGAGATCCCTAGCAAGGATCTGGTCACCGCCGCGGCCTGTGTCGTCGGCCTCCTCACCGGTTTCAGCGTCGTCCTCTTCAACACTGCTGTAAGCGATTCCAATTTCCTTTCTTTTAGGTGGTTCATTGAGGGGGGAAAAAGAAGAAAATATGAAAATTCTTCGTCCGGTTCCCCAAATACACACTCAAGATCAAATAAAATGATTACTGTTGTGTTTGACGTGGCGTAGTTGAGATCCGTCCTAATTTAATCCAATGATTTATGTTACAAGAAGGTTTTAAAGATCGGGTATCTGGGAAATATCAGACAACCAGAGACCGTATTGGATAGCCGATACCAGTGATATATATATAGTAAATATCGAAGTGTCATATTGGATGATTTTGCATATATAATACCAAGTCCTATAATGTAGTCTAAATATACTTGATGAGATCTAAGCATACAAAAATGTAAATGATATATGTTTAGGAGCACTAACCAACTAACCGGTTGTAGAAACTTACTTAAGGGGGTCCTACTAAAATTTGCTAAAGAACTTCATAGGGCTGTAATTTTTCTTAAAAAAACATTGCAGAACTTTTTTTTGTTGCAACAAACCATATAAAAAGGCACATTCGTCAAAATTTCAGATAAGATTATATCGGCCATGTTGGTGATATATCAAATGGAAATTGCCAAAAAGCAATAAAAGAAATTGAGACATTTTCTCATAAAAAAAGAAGATGAAATTGAGACCATATCATATGATGGCAATTCTTATAAGGATATATCGGCTGATATATCGACTATATTGCGGATATTTACACAATGTTTATGTATTAATATTTCACTTGTATTCACTCGGCCTCCCTTAAATGTTTCAAGTGAGGTTGAATAGGGTTGCAAGCTTTTTTTCGAGAATTAAATACAATCACAGAATTATGCAACAGAAAATAAATAAAGTGTAAGCAACCACAAGCACAAGCACCCGAGGCTTTTATAATGTTTCGGATAAATCCTAAATCCACTCTTCCTCCTTGTCATGAGGGCCTTCCTCTCTAGTATGAAGGAATTTTGGATCACAAACCAATCCAGTAAGAAGTTACAAGACCGTATGCTAGGTTCACCCTAATCTAGTCATCTCTGCCAAAGATCCTACCATTCAAGTGTAACCCTAGCCCTACCTAGCATCCCCAATTCCTCAATTAACACAGGCTTGAGTATGCTTTACAAAATCGACCTATCACACGATCGTAAATGAAGTGTATTACTAAAAACAATGATATCGATTAAGCACAACTAGAAAGATCTTATAGCCCTTTCATTGCAATCGTTTTCCAAAAGATTCAAATTGTAGATCTGAAAGAATGATGTAAATGCAGTGCTAGGGCTGGTTGCACTCCACAAAGAACACAATCTGATGTGATAGCTTGCTCAGAGGATGTAGCAAAATTGCAAGAGGTGACGGTGGAAGAGATCTCCTTCAAAACATAGAAAGCCTCATTTTCTCTCTCACAATAGGACTTTCTAATTTATGCAATTCTCTCCTCTCATTTATAGGAAAACAGTCCTAGAGATGCATATATAGCTGTCCCAATCAACGGTTCGCATTGCATCTCATAAATCAGATCAATACTGTAGAAAATCAACGATCAGACGGCTGAAATTTCGGCCCAGTTGACTGATTTTGACCCTATAAAAATTTTGTTGCTACCTTTGTGTTTTCAGTCAATCTGCCATTCACTTCCAGCTGCCTCATTCCAGATCCAATCATCTACTTTTTTTCAGCCGTCTAATTTAAATCTTGTAACAATTGATCTAATGTCACTACAATTTCAGTCGTCTGCTCTTGATTCCAGCCATTTGGGCTAGACGTCTGGATCAGTTTTCAATCATCTGATTTCTACCTTCAGTCTATGCATGATTTCAGCCATCTTGTGCATGTATTCAGCAGTCTCCTCTGAGGTTCCAGTGGCTGAAACACCATTTTCCAGCTGTTCACAAGTACTGCAACTTTGTCTTCTTGCCATCTTTTCCTCTCGCCTTCACTTGACTTCATGTACGTATTTATGGGTATTTGTACACTTTCACAACCTACACAATACAATTCGAAACATGTTAAAAACTTATAAACGTTTGTTATTGATCAAATCGAGTCAGTTGCATAAACACGATCCCGACAATATTTTGGTTTTTTCCTGAGATAAACAGTGTGACTGAGTGTCCTTCTGTTTCATTAATAAGTATTTAACGAAACAACCCAAACGGTTACAAACATATAAATAGAAAACTCATAAAAGAGCCCCATACAACAGTTGTACTCAAAATGAACAGAGAAACAAAACAAACAGACAGACAAAAAGACTTACATATGGGCTGAAAATAGGGAGATTTCTCGACTCTGCGCTCTAGTCCCCTTGACTATAGTCAGTATCGATCCAAACTGAGATAATGATTTCTCATCTTTTAAACAATTTATGTTGACCTGCCATTTTAACACTCTGCTCTAGGCAAATGCGATATTGGTCAAAATTGTCAGCATACTTCCTTTTTTAGCCAGATAACTCTTATCTATTTGCATCATGGCCCCTTGCCTTTTGTTATTACCGATCAAAACTTTAGGCCCTTCTTTTGTCAGAGTTCTAACAATATTCCTAATTTGATTAAAACTTTCTCGATCCAACATCTTAACCCCCTTAGCTTTCATCTGTGTGGATCTAGACTAAGAACCCTCCTTTTCTCAGTCAATAAATTCGATCGACCAGTCTCGCCCTCTCATTATTAATGACAATCACTTAAATTATGACATTTATTCCAACAGAAACCTTGTGTTCTACTTGGATGTCTTATTTGATCTCATCTGATGTCTCTCAATAGTTTTCACCACTGGACTAGGAGTAACCCATCTCAAGCCCTTGCAGACATGTACATGCAATTGTAAATCCCCTCAAAAAAAAAAGTTGTAGTTACCAAAGAAAAGAAGGAAAATAATATCGACAAGAGTAATAGATTGTGGTTGTTCATTATGGTGAACTTGAGGCTTTGGTTCAATGGCAAGAGCTTTGATTAGGCCATAACCAGAAGCTTTGGTTCTGAATTTTTTTTGTTTTGAGGAGTCAGGAACTGAGAATTTGGGAGTGAATTCCGAATATAATTATCATTGACTAGTGTTTCCAATTAGCTTATTAAGAATTGGATTTGATTTTTTTTTTCTTTGTTTTATTTTGTGGCTCAGAGATGAAGGATACCACCATATAGCGTTGGAAAAGAGTCTTCTCACCATCTAAATATTATATCTTCGAAGCTAATAAATTGATACTACCCTTCATTCTAAAACCACTAGAAAAGGGATACTACTATTACGAAAATTAGGCAGCGGAACATAGATGCTTAGAAACATTTTCACATCAAGTATCAAATGAAAATAATAACAACAACAACTTTCATCAAACCTTTCCCAAAAAGTGACTTTATTATTTTGTTCGAAAGGATACTTATAAAACAAAATATCTTACTAAATCTCCTTAGAAAATTGTAGCCTCTAGCATCAAGTTCCAATAATGCATACCAAAATCTTCCGAATCCATGATATGCAAAGCTCAAAATTCTTGCATTTAACTAGAAAATGACATTTATTTGTCATACCTAGAAACTTAGGGTATGTTTGGCGACTCCTCAAAATGAGGTCAAATTTGATCCTAGTCCATTTGGAGAAAAGTGTGTGTGGAGGATAATACTGGGTCAACATTGGCTTAGTTTTTTTAAGGTCAAAATTGGACTATAAACTGGTTTTGTTTTGGACTCTCTCTCCCCTTGACCAAAACAAAAATATTTTAGTTTAAAACAACACCAGGATCAGTCCTAACCCAATTTTAGGGTGGTTGCCAAACACACCCGTATTCATAAAAAATATTATTTCCTGTACAACCTTTAAATTTTAGTGATGAGAAAGATAATCAAACACAAGCTTAATCTTGACTAGACTTCCAAGAAGTTCATATTTAAATCCATTTTATTTTCTTGGTCCGCGATTTATTACCAGATGTTTACTTGTTGTAAAACATTTTCGTTTAAAAGATATCTTTATGCTAGTCAAAACTTGAGTTCTGCTAATTGATTATTTGCTTAGGTCCATGAGATAAGAGACTTCTTTTGGGATGGATTACCTTCTAGAGGCGCCTCATGGTTGAGGGAAGAGCCCATTGAGGTAGTCTGGCAAAGAGTAATACTTGTACCCGTTTGTGGGGGTGTGATAGTCAGCATCCTGAACACTCTCCGAAGTTATCTTAAAAGCCCATCTAAAGGCATTTCAGAATCCAATGTGAAGAGTGCATTGAGACCATTTTTAAAGGCGCTAGCTGCTTCGATCACACTTGGAACAGGAAACTCTTTGGGTCCTGAAGGACCTAGTGTTGAAATAGGTTCTGCTATAGCCAAAGGTGTTGGCCGTGTATTTCAGTGGACAGGTGGGAAAAACTTATCCCTTATAGCTTCTGGATCAGCAGCTGGAATTTCATCAGGTCAGTTTTCCACCTATCACTTTTTTTTATTATGTAATCCTGATGTTGATATATCTCTGAGCATAAGACATGTTTCAAACTATGTATCATAGGCAAATTATTATGACCTCAAAACAACATACTCATCACACCAACAACAAAAAAATAAATATAAAAATAAAAAGAAACACACACACACACACACACACACACACACACACACACATGGATTCTGAAGTTAACCAGGCTTTCCCTTATTTGACAACTCAGCTATTAGGCTTAAAGAACTCCAACACCAACCAAATAACAGAAATATGTCTGTTGAATTACATGCATCTGGTGAAAATATCTCATACTCCATGCAAAGGTATTTTTAAAGAGGGTTGAAGATGCTATATCATGACATTCCTTGCTGGTCCTGCCACACTAATCTTGTGCTTTAATCACCTGAATACCCTTAATAATTTTTCTTCTGAATTGATGGAAATCAATCATCTTTTTCCACAAGATGGCTGTAAAACATCTTAAGCCTATAAATAATTAAACATTACCTGGTGTAATATGATGCTCTAAACCTTCTTAACTCTTGAGAAGTAGGTGTCAGTGACCTCTCAATTCATATATACGGCAACCAGTGTGATAATCTAGATTATTACGTCTAGGAATGTTGGGAGCAGCCATTCCCAAGCACTAGTTATTAAGTTACCCCGATGCTTCATTTGGGCTCCTGTATCTGCATCCGACACTTCCCTTATCCTTGTCTACGTCCAATAGTCATTGGACGCTTCTTGAATATATACATTCATTTATTCAGACATGTACTTAGTTATGTAATATATGTTTTAGTTTGACATATACTCATGATACGCTTCTTGGACGTATATCTCACAATTGACCTCAAACTTCTGTAATTTGTTGGACTCGGATTGGATTCATTTCAACTTGTACCCAGTTCATAAGAATGATTTAAAGGTTCATTTTGGTATCTAGTTCAAAAACGAGTGATTTTCCAATTTATAATATTCTCAATAAAAGAAACATAAAAATGTTATAGATATTTTATTTATCTTAACATCATAACATGGGAATTACAAAATAATAATCTCATATAAATTATTAATTTTGATATGTGTTTATATACTCGGGTCCTCGTAGCCTATATTTACAAATTTTTCATGTCCGGCAACCGTACCCGTGCAATATTGATTAGTTATGAATCACATGTGATGAAAACTTATGTTTTAACTATCTATGTTGGAGATTTTTAGTAATTAATACTTGAAGTAATTGACTCTCCAAGTATACGGTGTTATAATCATGATACAAGCAGCAAAACTACTTGTCCATGCTAAGGTAGTTGTGGAAGAGAATGACACTATCTGAGCATCCTAAATTGTCAAAACAACTGCTACCTCCTAAACTCCTTGCAGTGCACAGTCATCCTGGATTTAGTGGTGATTAATCTCTTGAGAAGATGGCAGCATGTGGTTTCTTTGACCTTTCACCTTGCAATAATGATTTATATTGGATCCTCCAGCACCTTTGTCACATAGAGTCCTTATATATTAGTTAACTGATTGATCTGTTTTACAGGTTTCAATGCTGCTGTTGCTGGATGCTTTTTTGCTGTAGAATCTGTCCTATGGCCATCTCCAGCGGACTCATCTTCACTGATTACAAATTCAACACCGTTGGTGATCCTCAGTTCAGTCATTGCATCCGTGGTTTCAGAAGTTGGTCTTGGTTCTGATCCAGCATTTACCGTTCCAGAATATGATTTTCGTTCTGCAGGCGGTACAGTCTCTTTATGTCACAAAAATTGATGCCAACAATAGATTTTTATACGGCTTGATTCTTTTTCTTCAGATTGCATTATATTCTTGAGGTTAAAGTTTGATCTTTCTCTTTCAACTTTCTTTCAAGCTTGCGTCTACTATCTACATAATAGCTTATATGTTATCAATTGTCAAAAGGTTCTATGAAATTATTTAAGCCATCGTTCTTATGTGCTACAGAGCTTGACAAAATCTGAAAAACATTTTCAGAACTTCCGTTGTATCTTTTGCTGGGTATTCTGTGTGGGATGGTCTCATTGACCTTATCCTGGTGCACTTCATATGCTCTGAAGCTTGTGGACATTTTTCACAAGGCCACAGGAATAACAAAGGCTGTTTTTCCTGCACTCGGTGGTCTGACTGTTGGTCTGATAGCATTAGCCTATCCTGAGATTTTATACTGGGGCTTTGAAAATGTTGATATTCTACTGGAATCACAACCATTTGTAAATGGACTCCCTGCTTCTATTCTAATTCAGTTAGTTGGGGTGAAAATAATCGCAACATCACTGAGTCGGGCTTCTGGATTGGTCGGAGGCTACTATGCACCATCTCTTTTTATTGGTGCAGCAACTGGCATGGCTTATGGAAAGTTTATTACTTCTGCATTTGTTGGACCCAATCCTTTGTTTACCCTTTCCATATTAGAAGTGGCATCACCTCAAGCATATGGTCTGGTAACCATTTTGTATGAAGCTTCCCATATTTATGATAGTTAATGATATGTCGCTTGCTAAACTTGTATTGTTCTCTCTTTTATATCTCATGGCATTTCTTTTGCTCATTGTTTTAAATATCCCCGACATGGCCCGATATATCCCCCGATATATCCTTTTACAAGGCTTTCCACAACTTATACGGTCTTTAAATATCCTTTACCGCTTTTTGGCTATTTTGAGTGATAGATCCCCGATATGGCCGATATATTAGCCGATATGTGGACCAATATATCTTTTTATATAGCTTGTTGTAAAATAATATACCGTCTTTGGAATTTTTGGGCGAGATATCAAGATTTTCCCATTATATCAAATGGCATTTTGCCCTAAAAAAAGCAGATCGAATGTTGCAACGTTGCTTTGCGCTTTTGTTTGTTTTAGAAGGTTGATTAATGATCCTAAACATTTATTATTCATATTTTGTATGCTTAAATTTCATTACATATGTTGAGATTACATTTTAATGCATTATACTATGTATGCAAACATTCATTATGGCATTCCGATATTTACCACATATCCCCGATATTTCCCCGATATCCGCAATCCGATATGAATTTTGGCCATCCGATATTTTCCCGATATCTGATATTTAAAACCTTGCTTTTGCTTACAGAACTTGATTGGAAGCAATTAAAAAAAGGATATGTTAATAGTTTAACTTAACAGAGGAGATGACCGAGAATAGAATTTAATGGAAGAGTAGGATTCATCTAGCTGACTCCAAAAAATTGGAGGTCAAGGCTTTATGTCAGTATTTGACAGAAAACAACATCAATTGCCCCTTATCTGTGTTCAACAAATAATGCTTAACATGCTAAGTTTACCCAAAAAGCCTCATACATCTCCAGGGGATCACAATATCACATTAACAGTTGAAGTTCTGATACAGATAATTTCAACCAGTATTATGATGAGCTTTGATTATGCCATATGTTATAGTGTTGAACTTTCCACCATTAAATAATTTTTAATCATCTAATGGCAACTTGATCATAGACAAATACACAATAATGATGTTCGTTTTGAGGGTATATTCAGCATAGTGCATGTGCTTCGTTTACATTAGCAGTGCTGTAAGGAACGCAGTAACTTGTTTGCCCTTCAATGCTGAGACGCTCAATGGCCCGAACTCAAACTTATCTCACATAATTGAATTTATTAAAAATTACTTTTGAGTCACTCTGATGACGATATTGTTGAACTAAGAGCATCAACCGAGAATTTTAGTTGAAAACCATCAGAAAAGGTTTATAGGCACCCCACAAATGGCTGATTATCAACATTCAAGTACTGCACCCTCACAGCAATTGATATCATATACATTGGCATACTGTACTTTTCTGCACTTGCAATCATTCACTAAATACTCATTTCTTTTTGACAGGTGGGAATGGCTGCTACTCTCGCTGGTGTATGTCAGGTACCCTTGACATCAGTTCTGCTCCTGTTTGAGCTAACGCATGATTATCGCATAGTTTTACCTCTACTTGGAGCTGTAGGATTATCTTCATGGATCACCTCTAGTCAGAGTAGAAAGAAATCTGAAGGAGAGAAATTAGAGAAAGTTGAGGTTGTTAGTGATGGACAACCTAGAGATCTGTATCAGAGTCAGATATCAACCAATTCTCCAGTCTCTACTGAAGCAGCTGAATCTGATACTACTGATCTGTGTAAACTTGAAAGCTCTCTTTGTTTGTATGATAATGACATTGATACGAGTAGTTTAGCAGAACGGCTTATTGTTGCACAAGCTATGAAAACCAGATATATTACTGTTCTTTTGAGCACCTCAGTGGTGGAAGCAGTCACTTTGATGCTTGTGGAGAAGCAATCTTGCACAATGATAATTGATAGCAACCATTTCCTGTTAGGAATTCTGGAGCTAGAAGATATTCAGGGCTTCATCAGAGTTACCAGAGCACGCGGCATGGGAATTGAGGTAGAACATTGGAATATTTTTTAATTTATTCAATTCTAAAATTTCCTTCCTGTTTACTGGCTAAGGCCCACCTAGGGGCATATTATCTTACTCAAGGAAAACAGTGAAACGGTTGCTGATGACAAAAAAATTTGGTTGACTTGTGAAAGTTAATATATATAAAATAATTATTAGTAATAAAAGAAAAAACTGCAAAATGAGAAAAAGCTTATGTGTCAATTGTCATGTAGGGATACTGTGATACCGATACCTGTATGTTGCTTTCTAGTGATGTTTTGTAGGGTAATGGGTAGTCTCATTACAGTCACAGAGAGTCTCAGAAAAAGGTAAGACTTATGTTTCTATAAGGAAAGATGATATTGGTACATGAGCGGTCTAGAAACAAGAGCAGAGGATTATGCAATAAGAATCAGTGTTTTAAGGGTGATGTCTGATGAAAGCAGCTTTTTATGCCTTCTTCGAGGAGATAACACCTCGCCGTTGTAGATGAGTCAGCCTGGTATATTTATTACATATACACCCTGTTAAGTATTATCATTGAACTATCTGATGATGCTATGTGGGAATTATAGGGGCAGACTTTGCTGACAAAGGGCCTAAAAATCAGCAGAAGAAAAGTACAGTTTTAGCTGGACATGTATAAAGATGAGGACTTATTAGAGCAAATAGCCCACTGATACCTCATATTGTCAACCTATCATTTCTTTCTACGTCATAGGCTATCATTGAGGTTTATAATCTCTTCTAACATCAGTCTTGATATAGTAGACCAAATTCATTGAGTATCCAGGACATCTTGCAGTGAGGATATTCCAAAGAATGTGCAAGATGATAGTAACGTCCTACAGATGCAATAAGATGAGTTGTAAAAAGTATGTCATGCATACTATGTGGAGATTATGTTGCTGCAAAGGGTATCAAAAATATAAGATTATAGTTGTAAAGATGAGAATGCTTAGGCATGTGCAAAGAAAAATCAAACATGATTAAATTTTCCTGTGAAGACTAGAATCAATTTTTAGAATTACATACAACTTGACGGATCTGAAAGATGTTAAAAAACACAATAACTAAAATCAATGTTGAAAAAAAGCCATTACGTAACTCCTTATTTCTTGTATGTAATTCGTTATTTCACGTTATGTAACATACCAAACCTTAAACATTGCGTAACAGTTTGGTATAACTCGAACACATCGTAACTTTATGCTATTACAATATAGTGAACACTATTTTAGTGTAATGTATGTTATTTGAATGTGAGATGTGTTATTTTGGTATAACTTATAGTAGAGAGTGGGGATTATTTTCTTTCTTTGCTTTGTTTAGGACTTGAAGTAGTTAAGTATTTTTCAATTGTTTGTTAAGTCTTGATAGCTTCCGCTTCCTTCATTTTCGTGATACATATTTGTTGACATCATTATGCTTGTGATAATGAACATATTATTTGTTTAGAAGAAAGTAAATATGAAATTATAAACAAGATATGCATATTTTTAATAATATGTTGAACATTTTTTGTCGTACTGTGAAGTAAATTAGTATAGCTTGCACTTTTATTAATTTTTCTTTTGTTGAAATTGTGTTACTATTTATCAACGTCATTATGGACATTCGTATATTTATATTGATTTAAAAAATAACAAAGCACGTAACCTACATTATATGTTACGTTAAATGCGCTTTAGGAAGAGAGCAGGCCTTACATTATATGTATTGTCATTTTCAACATTGGATAAAATAGCAGTTTAGGCGGAAGAATTTTTAGCATTAGCTTTGCAAGGTACTATTCAAAATCAGCTGCAGAAGGAATCTGAAGGGGAACCAAGAGGTGGTAGAAGATTCATTTGTTAGCGTCAGTGCAGGGCATAAGGAGACTTTGGCATTGAAACATACAAATGAATCCATCACAGACTGGGAGTTTCTCAGTGCTGTTTATTATTTACAGATTATGATCTCCTTAGATTGCTATAATTGGAAACAGTGTTTCCAGATTTGTCTCACGCTTGTGTTTTTGAGGGGTATTTTGGTCACAATTTTGAGCTGCATGCAGTTGGAAGGGGCAGACTTAATCAGATTGATATCGTGGGTCGTAATGGTCACATTTCTGGGATCATTTCAATAGTTATGCATGTAATATGTGAGTTCATATAGACAAAAAGACACGGTACATAAGTACATTACACTTGAAGATGTGCACAAGTGAGGATTATGAAAAGGAAACTTTCTTTCTCAAAAATACTTTATTAAAACCATGATCACAATATTGAATAGTCAAAGTTGAAACTCCAAACTGGATGTGTAAGTGACAAAAAAAACTACAAATTGGATATATTGATATATTAATAAATGGCTGAATACTAGCAATTAAATACAGCAAGAGATCACATTGGATTAGCTACTCGATAGCTCTCTTACTGTCTTGGGTCTCTAGTTTTGTCAGTGAAGAATGTACATAATTGGATACAAACTGGATCGTGGTTCAAGGGGGTGGAATCAATTATGTGACATTGTTTGAAACTTAGTTTAATATATAATAAAACAAGCCTTGTTTGAAATAAAAGCCTGATTCATCTAGGGCAAATTCCAATTAAAAGTTCTATTTTTCTTGGAGAATTCAACATCATAAGGTCTATATATGTATAGTACTTAGTTTCATAACATTTTCCTTGTTATAAAATTTCAATACCTTTCTTTGGTCAATTTAGCATCCACATTTTCCTCCCTTAAAAAATGTGAAGCACATTACTTACAGAATGCCATATCCAAATTTCTTGCAGTTGACAACTGGCTTAAAGTTCGCCCGGTATTTCCCAGGAGCCACCAAGTACACTCCTCCATAACCCATCCCGTCATCGATGAATAACGTTTAAATGCTAATCATTCTCTGAAAATTAATTTAATGCTAGTTGCCGCTTTATATTAAGTTAAAACATTACAATCATAAAGCTAGAAAGGTGACAATTTGACAATATGATGTACACTCGCAGAAGTGAAACCGTTACCACCCACACAGGAACATTATCCTCCTCTTTGTTTATTTAATGAAAAAGCTGTTACAGTGAGCATACCAAATTCTTTGGAAGGGAAAGAATTTTGTAGAAGTCAAATAAGCTGGAATTCAATTCCTTGAGATATTAATTGCTGATATATGTTGGTGTACAAAAGAAACAAAAACATGTGTTTTTCTAGGAATTATGAGAAGTATATGTCTTTGTATGGAAGAAAGCAACAAATGTGTTTAGTTATGTTGTATATTGTTGTAAAGCATTTACTTAGTTTTCATTTTCTTTCCTCTTTTTTAGATAACATAAGCTTTCGTGGTTTCAAATGAAAAAATGGTGTTAGTTCTCTCAGGCTAAAAAGATGTCTAGAGAACAGTACTCTAGGAAATTGTCAATTGAAGTTAGAATTTCACGCCCATCTTCTAGCCCTCTAGTAGATTCTACCATTTGAAAATGTTTGAATGCCCTACATACACCTAACCTGATTTCCTAAAAATGTGGTTGAAGCATGTACAAACTGCGTAGTAGACCTTTTCTTCTTCATGAAACAGATGTTTTCTTCTAGAGATGGTGCTGCAAGAATCTTATATGCAGGGAAGACTTTCTAAAGCAATTTTTTTTCTTCAATACAATTTACTCATTTTCTGGTATTATATGTTGATCCCTGTGAGTTTCATTTTATAACTGCTTCTGACAGGCACAATCTCACGACAACATGAGCCAATTTTTGATTTGACAATTGGTCTGATTTTCTGTGCCTGTGACTTAAAATGAGCTTCTCCTATTAGGAAATAAAGCAGAATTATATAACACTTGCCATTTACAGAAACATAATGACACTACTTTCGTTGAATTCTCTTATTCTCAACTTGCAAATTTTTTTTTTTTTTTTCAGGTAGACAAGATAGTTGTATCTGATATCTGTCACGTGCAAGGAAATAAGTGTCAGGTGTGGACTGCAACACCAGATATGACACTTCTTGCTGCTAAAAAGATCATGGATTCACATGGAGTGAATCAGCTTCCCGTGATTTCAGATCATAACGACAGGCATTTAATTGGGCTCTTAGACAAGGAGTGTATCAACATTGCTTGCAGGTAAAATTCTATCAAATATTAACGCCTTTTTTTCTTTTTTGCATTATACTTCATCAACAAACAATTAACCTTACAACAATTCAATATGCACACACAGATTTATCGGCAAGGCACTGACGCTTGTGTGATTTATTTTTAGGTAAATTTCACATAACTACCATGAATTTTGGGAACTTTTGCACAAAACCACCATTCAACTTCTTTTATTAGAGAAACCTACCATGAACGTCCGAAACTGCAGAAAATTATTAGAGAAAAACCACCATACAACTTCTTTTATTAGAGAAAACTACCATGAACGTTCGAAACTGCAGAAAATTACCATGAGCTATGAGACTATGAGTAATTATTGCCAATGGCATTATGTCTTGGATAAAGGTCAACTGCTCTTATTTCTTATATAACCACAAAATTCATAGAAAAGATGCGTTATAAGTAAATGAGGGAAGATTTGACCGAAACATGTCATGTGAAAAGTGTGGCGTACTTACCCCAACCATCGTCAGGCATGGTAGTTAACTAAAAAGTGTTCCGGCTAGTTTTATCTAATTAAAGAAATCATGATAGAGTATGCGGGACACGCCCTAAAGTTCATGGATACTTGTGAAATACTCCCCCTGCTCGTCGGCCCCTCCCCCTCCCCCCCCCCCTTTTTTTCTGTGATTTGTGTACGCCAACAGATGACTAGAAGCAGACCTTATTCCATATGGGCTTAATATGTCTTTGTTTCTTCTTTGTTCTCTTTTTCCTGCTGAGGGTCAAGAAGCTGTGCTGGGCAACGACAAGAATTTCTCAGCCCATCCTCCATGATGAGAAAACCAGGGTCCTCCTCGTAAGATACGGAATAAAATTATGTTTGCAGCTTTCCATATATTTCCTTATTGGAGATGCCACCCAAGCTAAGATTCAGAATTTAGCTAGTGGTCACTGGTCAGTATACAGATGTGGCTGGCAATTTACGCTTCTCCTAGCATAATTTTGCATTGTGATCATTATTGATCCTTGCATATTTAAACTGCTCAAGATTTGTCAGTTGCAAGGCAGTATATGATTAAAGTATCACTTATTAATTCACATGATCTTACTACTCTGCTGAGAAATAATATTGACAGGCCCCACAGGGACAAGTAGATACAAACACTCTTCTTCGATGTTCCGAGGCCCTCAGTATCAACTTTACAGTAACTACTTCATCCCAGATTTTGATTTAATATTTCCTTAATTCAAGGATCTTATATTTTCTTACATTGAGGTTAAATTATTGATTATTGGCTGGTCCTGCTGGGTCTGTTCGCATTCTTAATCAGAGTTTATTGTAAAGGTGGGCTTAAGTCAACTCTGGAAATGCTTCTTACTTGCAAATTGTGTAGACCTGGATCGTGCCTTGTTAAATAGTGCAGTTATACTATGAGATAAAAGGAATGTATTCACATGTACCTTGCTGGCTCTTTGTTTTAAGTCTCTTGGCACTCATGTCATGTGTTAAGTCAGTTTCAGGGGTGGCATGTGAGGGCTGTTCAGTTTTTTTTATTTTGGACCACCGAAACAATATCTTTCTCTGATGTATGTTTCCATGTACCAATTTCAGGATCCATTGCGGGCATAAGCGCACAGGTTTTGTGTTCTCATGCATGCTTATCTTCTGAACGTAGTTAAGGATGTGCGATTAATAACTTAAATCACAGTTTTTATGTTTTTAGCTCCCTATTGTAGTTGTTGTTGGTGTATAAGATTATCCTCTCGATCCTCACTACAATTTCGGAGTTTTATTGCAATGAAAAGGACTTAGAGATGTACTACAATAATGTAGATTCAAAATCTATTAAACACTCTACGTGTTTAGGGTGGATTTATTTTTTATTTTTTCAAATCGCTACTTAAAACAGTCCTCACGTTTTGGTCTATCAGAAGAGTATGTTAGACATAAAACCAAGGATTAATTGCATTCGTGTATTCTGAGGTATATTGTAATTGTATAGATGATCTTAGAGTTTGTATGTATGTCTATACGAATAACTCTGAGATTACTAATTATGATCACAAATCAGTTTATTTCCCCCCCTCTCCTCTGGCTAACCTGAAGTCTAGTTTAGTGTTGTTGGGCATGGTTAGGATTATAGTAGAGATTACTGAAAGTTTCATTGTTATAACCCTGAGCATAATTGTAACTTTTATCGTAACCCTAACTCTTATCCTACCCTAACTTTAGCCCTAATTCTGACCAACATCCAACAATAACTCCATGCCAGCACCCAAAAAAAAAAAAAAAAAAAAAAGGAAGGGTGTAGACCTGTTGTCAAACTCCAGGATCACCCACGTCAACAGCAATCGATGATCTCAGATTAACCAGCGTACATTTGCAGACTCTAGGGTCCTCTGAGACCATTTTCTCAGGTGTACCAAAATGTAATTAATACTAAAATTTACCCTTCATGAAACTGCACGTGATGCGCCCTCGCCTGTGGCCAAAATTGAGACGACGTGTTCGTATAAAAAAATATCCACGCAAACTCTAGATTACTTTGACCGTAACGGTGTCTTGCACCGTGCGATGCGCGTAGAATATGTCATTCCACTTGGGAAGCCAAGCCGCCTTCTTTAGGGATCCAATTAGCTTTCATGCTCCTCCTCCGACTCTTCATCTCTTAATCAAACTTTCTTCCACCAACAAACAAACGCCCCCCGCGGGTCCGTTTGTTTTGATTTTTTTTTTTGAAGAGGAAAGTCTATCAAAACTGTCAGTTTTGATAGGCGTTCTTGTAAAAACGTCTTTTTTAGAGACGTTTTTGCAAGAAAACCTGTCAAAACTGACAGTTTTTGTCAGTTTTGACAGTTTTCACACCACTTTACTCTTAGGGGCTGTTTGGTTGTTGTTGGTAAAGTTGTGTATTTATGACACAACTTGGAAAGTTGTTGTCCACCTCATCAATTTTACTTTTATACTTTTCTTTGTTTGTTTTTTATTCCATTGGAATCATAAATTGCTTGTTTGGTTTGTAAATGTAGCTTTAATTATTTGTTTGGAAAGTGTAAAAAGTGGTCCCTACTCAAATGATCATATTGGTTAGAATTATTTTTTATTATTTTTTCCTGACTTCAATGTCAGCTTTCTCCTAAAATCATGTCTTTTTTTTTATGAAATCACTTTACAAGCCACATCAACATATAAAATCACTTTACACTATTTTTCACAACTACAAACAAACAATTAAAAGTGATGAAAGCTGATATTGAGGCCCACTTTTTTACACTTTCCATCCTTTTACATGGTAAAAACATACAACCAAACAGCCCCTTAAAAAAAAATTAAAACAAACAGGCCCTAATAAGTAGCCAAGGGTAGGGCCCGTTTCCCACCGACTTTGTAATTGCCCTTCCGGGAAGGCCCAACCCTAGGCACGGATTCAGAAGCAAGTAAGGCGACTGAAAAGGTGAGGGGGGGGGGGGGGGGGGGGGAATAAATCTCAAGGTCAATTATTTATTATCATCATCGCCACCAACAGAAGGAAGGGCAACATAAGACCCAGAGGATCATTCTAAAAATGGGCATGAGGATGGATGACGTGGCGAGGCGAAGGTCCTCTGATCATTGCCGGGGGCCAAAGAGCTATCGCAGGCTGAGTTGGCTCCCACCGAGAGCGTACGTGCTCATGATGACCGATGAGCATGAGCGTCTGTGGTTACTTTTTTAGGAGGATATCCGCTTTTAAGTAATTTTTGTTACCAAAGACCCGGCAGTGACTACTATTGGAGTATTGGAGAAAATGATGACTCATCTAATCAATATTTGATCATTATACACTGGATCCCTTTTTAATGATTTATCATTTATTGACAGTCATCAATTTGTCTCGGGTACAAATTTAAGAAAAAAAAAAACTACGGAATTTATCGAAGACACTCGCGTAAGAATGAATTGCGAGTCGCTGATTTCATGCGATTGGTTAGGGACTGTTTGTTTCATTTTTTTTTTGAAGGAGAAAGTTAGAGGAAAGCTGCCAAATCTGACAAAAATTGTCAGTTAAAAGAGGCGTTTTTGCAAGAAAGCCTGTCAAAACAGACAGTTTTTGTCAGATTTGGCAGGCTTTCCCCTTCCCATTTTTGCAAACAAACAGTCCCTAAAGAAGTTAATTCTCTCTTGCAGATTGAAGGATCCAAACAATTTTCACAGGTTTACTCCAACAAACTGCCAGCATGCGCAATTTTTTTCCACCCCTCCACGCTCACACTTCTGCTCTCTGGATTCCGACAAAAGCAAAGAAAATAAACTTGTACAGCTCACAAGGATAAAAGACAAAAAGTAAGTCATATCAACAGCCTGTAAAGATCTCAACGGCCCCCATACAACCAGATTCGCTGCATGAACGTATGAGAGAGACGTCCAAAAACACCAACTGCAAAGATTCAATCCCCTGCAAAACCTGGGCTGGGCAACACGGCCCGGAAAGTACAAAACTAAAGACGAGAGGCCGAGACAAAAGATGCGGGCACAAAATCTCAAATGTCTTTCCCTTGTAGGTAAAATAAACATAAATAATTGCACATTTCTTCTGATAAAATACAACAACAAGAACAAGAGAACTATTATCAAAGGCCAACTCACAACTGTATCTCAAGGGAACTCCATCTAATAGATTTCCCTTTCATACACAAACATTTCTCTTAGTAATTTTTTTTTTTTTTTTGGGTTCCTTTTTTCTGTTTACCGCAACGTATATCACTACAAATAGCAACAATGAACAAACCCGAGAATTAATGGGCGAGCAATGACGACTAACTGTAACACTATATAGCCTTCCTCATCATGTTCATATAGCAGGGAAGGAAGTTACCTGCCTTATTGTGAAGAATTTGATACAGAGATCAACTGCAATAGAAGTACAATGAACAACGTTGACCCGTCCTCTCCCAGTTCATCCAACTAATAAAGAATTTAACGAAAGCATCACACAAACCGTGCCTTTCTTCTATCTACAACAATGAGGTGTTTGATCACAAACTTGGGGGGAATTTCGAATGGTAGCAATACCTTTCCCTTTGTAGTGATAATGAAGCATCACCTGTAATCTTTTCAACTGTCGAAATGTCTACAACCTGTGATTCATCAGTTACAGTCCAATCCGCACTCTTCGAGAAGAGGACCATCGGATTTTGCCAAGAAAGGATCGATTCGAACCCATAAGAGGGAGAAGATGGAGGCAAGGAGAATGGACCAGACAATAATAATGGTGGGTGTCCTGTTTTGTCTCCCAACAAGACCTTTAAGAAAAGGATAGAGATGGACTATCACCCAAAATGCGAAGAAGAGCTTGCCAAACAATGGTCCCCATGATTCATATCCGTTGTTGATGGCATTTGATACTCCAGCAACAACACCAATGATGTTAACTATAAGCAGTGTTGTAGGTGGAATAAGCAATGTGGTCCACTTGAATGTGTAAAGCTCGGAAAACTCTCCATCATCACCGCCCTTGGATGTAACCGTGAAGTTGGTATCAATACCTGCTAGGACTTTCAATAGACCTTGAAATAGCGCAAAGAGATGAGAGGAAACACCTCCAATAACCC